TTAGGTCCGAAATATTGGTATGATTGGTCCGAAATTTTCTTTGATTGCGATTTTTTCTACGACCATGAGAACGGTTTTTACGAACAGTTTTAGAAACTATATCCAAAATGTTAACAGAATCGGTTCTTGATATATTACCAATTCCCATGATATTATCATTAAGACCGAGAGGGTAGACTGTCTGTAATTTTTTAATCCAATTTAATTCAATTATTTTCCGCGATCGTACAAACTTTGAATGAGATTCACCAGGCTGCTTATTTACTACTTCTAAAGGTTGAACTGCTAAATATTTAAAAGGATGATTGTGCTTCTTAAGGTGTTGATAAATGATACTTTTGAATTTATTTGGTCTTTTAAAACGATACAGATGTTCTTGAGTGCGTTTAGATAAATATCGTCCAGTTTCACCTACGTACTGAATACCGCATCCCGGTTTGTTTCATGTGAGTAAATAAATTATACTGTTCGTTTTTCAAGTTATATCAGTTTCAAAATTTAAAGAAAATGTGCGACCATTAAACGTGGACCTTACCGTATTGTTGGTGGAAAGACGGGGACATGTAAGTCATTTTTTGGCATGACACTTATCGATAGAAGGGTAACCACGATTTTTATTGTTAAAAATGTTAGCGATGGTAGTATTTTTAGATAAGCGATTTTGAAGATTGAGACGTGTAGATACCCTTTGAACGAGTTTAGTATTTAATATTTTTCCATTTCTAAGCTTCATATTTGTTTTTTGTTTGTGAATTATATTAGAAAGGAGCAAAGACTGGCGTCCAGAATATGAACCAGCATACAATGAATTAAATTATGTAAAAATGATAAATCTGTTCGGCTAAAGATGTCAAACGCTATCTGTATTAATTACCCGAAAAAGAAAGGGTATATTAGGGTAGCGACTGACGTCTGACTAAATAGTAGAATGGGGCTGAATATTGAAATACTACTTTTTGATAAATATTCCTAAAGTAATGAACTAGAGAAGTTCTCGCTCGGACACACACTCCATAATCTAGTATATTATAAGAGCATAAACCTGAAGCACGGGGAGGCATATTTGAAGCATATTTGATAAAATTACCTTTCAATGAATATGGATATGACCGGCTATATCTGTAAGGGTCATTGCACGTTACTAAACAAAAACATGAAAAGAAGAAGCAAAGAAAATTGAAAGACAATACTCGCTTTAATTCTTTCTTCACTTGAGAAGTCATTATTCTCCGCTGGTTCCGACCATTATAAGTTAAATGGTTCGCTACTGACCCCCTACGGATCCATAGAGGGTGAGTAAAATCCATAGGGGGTGAGGCCGAAGGCCGAATCTCCTATGGATTTTATTCACCCTCTATGGTCCGTAGGGGGTCAGTAGTTAACCGTATAACGAATTTATCGCCCGCGAGACTTTTTTCCGCTGTGTTTTGTAGAGAAATAAACCGGCAATTAAACACAACAACATTAATAGATGACGTCACTATTAACAGTAGACGTGACGTCATGAACCCCCTATGAAATTTACTAACCCCCTACGGATCCATAGGGGGTCACCACGTGACGGCGTGGTGCGATAATAGTATATAAAACAAGAGGATGTGGTATGATTGCCAATGAGACAAATCTCCATCAGAGATCAAAATGAAGTAAGCAAATATAAGTCACCTGACGGCCTTCAACAACACGAAAAACCCATACCGCATACTAAGCTATACTGAAAGGCACTGGAATTAAAAATGTAAAACAATTAAAGCGAGAAAAGGAGCGAACTGATTTATGTACAAAACAACAAACGAAAATTAATATGATATACATAAACAAACAACAACCACTGAATAACAGGCTCCCAACTTGGAATATGCACATACAGAATCAAGGTGGCGGGATCAAACATGTTTGCGGGCACCCAACCCTCCTCTAACCTAGGACAGTGATGTAACAGCACAACATCAAAATAAGTAATAAAAACAGTTGCATGAAAAGGGCTTAACTAAGAACGATAAAAGAACAAAAACATGCAATTAACAAAGACACTAAAGTAAAAAATTAACAGATCTTAGAGTACTCGCAGTTACTGAAAGCTAGCCCAAAGCCAATAACAACTTTACAAAAATCATGTATCTAGAACTAAAATATCAATCAGTTCACATCCAACATCCAATGGATTTAGTAAAAGACGTCATTGTATAGTAACAGTCAGAGATAGAATTGAAAATGGAAACGGGGAATGTGTCAAAGAGACAACAACCCGACTAAAGAGCAGAAAACTGCCCAAGGCCACCGATTGGTCTTCAACGCACCTAGAAAATCACGCATCGGAGGCGGGTTTCAGCTGGCCCTTAAAGTAAACAAAATTGTATACTAGTTCAGCGAAATGGAGACTTTATAAAACGATTACTGCTAGTATGCCACAAAAAAAAAAGAGATAACACACAAAATGAAATTGCCATGGATCACAAATAACAATACTAAACGCCTGCATAATAGGTCAAAGAAGTATGCACATTGGCACTCATACCACATCTTCTTATATCTAACAACTCAAAACCAGGGTCTGAAAACACACTTGCTAACATGTCCAAATACATTTGCCCTTGGTCTCTTTTCCATTCTAGTGACTTGAATTATTTATTCCTTCAACTTACTTTTCTGGATAAGAAACAAGGTGGACCTCTTTGAGAAAACTATATGATAAAATGATTACATTATTTGTATTATCACTGTGGCATGGCAGTAAAATCAAAGATATGAAACTTTGAAAGAACTAAACTATAATTCATAAAAAAATGATAACTATAATTACAAGTTTTATGTTGTGATAATTTAAATAATCATATTTATGATATATAGTCTATGGTAATCTAATCCACTTTATATGAATTTTAATTTTATCTCCATTTATATGTTTATGTGTTATGAATGAGAATGCATTGTGTATTATTGTCATTATGTCCCGTCAGGGGCCCTTGATTGGAAAATAAAAAACTTTGAACTTTATATAAACGATTTCCCATAAAATACAGGTTTCAAAAAGGGGCGCGGGGCCTGGCAAGCCAACGCTTTGAGTGATACTTGTAACAAGTCTGTGCATTCATCATAGATGAAGCTCCATGAGGGAAAATCATTCATTCATCAAAATAGCAACAATAATGACTGCTTTCATATTCTAACCAAATCGTATCATTAGTTTCATTTGTCTGACTTAATAATTCCAAAAAAAATTAATAACATTATAGAATCCGCGATACCAGCTCTGTTTCAGCCTATGTTTTAACACCTACAGTGGACTGCACTACAAATGAGACGCACACAAGCAGTATAGGTTCGTGGTATTTTATAAAATCATACATCAACAACTGGCAATTTATCCAAACGATCTTTCTATAATTACATCAGAGTGTTGCAGAACAAGACAACATATATAAACTGTACACATGATGGTTGCGTACAAATGGAAAATAATGCTGAAAAGAGCCATACATAGATACTGGTCAAATATATGGAAAGAGGAATGCCGAGTCAACAAAAACAACGATTAAATACCTGTAAATCCTAGAAAACCCTACTGAAAACTCACACAATATTTGGAAATCAATAAAAAAAAAATAGAACAAGATTCGAAAAGCAGAGGTCAAAAGAAGACTAATAACTGTAACATACATGCTCCAATCTTCTTAAGCAAAATTTAGCAAAAACCAAACCTCTGGAATATGTGAACTCTGCAGCAAAGCCGACTAATATATTAGACATTTCTGCTGGAATTTGAATCTCTGGAAAGTGTGAAACAAAAACACATGAACAAACTTCTATCTATAAGCGTACTGAATGGGAGAGGTGGTAAAGCTAATTGTAAAAAGGACGAGAGGCTTCAAATCATAATGGAGTGTTCAATATTGTCAGCAACTAAACTATCTCATTTAACAGCAGATGATCTTAATGTAGACATAGAAAAACCGGCATTCCCAAAATGTTTGTCATCGGCTGCATAAGAAAAACAGCGATATTAATCAGAGGCTATATTGAAACTGTTGTAACATCTAAGTGCTTTTCTTCGAGACTTTCAACAATGTGACTTTACATTTAAATAGCACCAATATTACTGTATCCTATAGCAATAGTACAACTAATGCCTATGTCTATTTTCATGTTTGGCCTTTTATAGTCGAGTATACGGTATGGTTTTTTCTCATTATTGAAGGCCTTACGGCTGTTGACTAAAGTGCTTCCATCCACTTCATTTGAAATTTGGTTAATAGTTGTCTCATTGGCAATCATATCACATCTCCTTATTGTTATATTAGATACTAACACAATGCATATGCACAATAGGAAAGATCATCGGGACCAAGCAGTCTGCATGGAATGTCAATCTAAAGTAAACGGCTCCCAACTATAAATGATAGCTGCTCACATCTACGCTTGCATTTCATTATATGCTTAGACCTTGGCAGGGGTCACCATTTTCCCCCTTTCACGACATATATTACATTAATATTTTAGATTTGGTTATCTTGTCATAAGCTGATAGTTTAAAGATTATTTAAAGTCTAGTATTCTTAAATTTATAGTTACAACTTTAAATGATGTTAATAGCACACAAATTTAAATATTTGCTTTAAAATTCACAGTTCTCATCCGTTGAATCACACATATTTAAAACTTGTAAATCGTAGTATCCCTTCACACTATGTAAATATCCTTGTAAATATTTGAACATTTAAGTCGGTTAAACCTCTATCGCAAGTGGGAGTGCTCCGATATATAACTGAGGAACATACCTGTACATAACAGAACTCACAGATCTAGGTTACATCGTCACGCGTAAAACTGATTTTTATAAGTCAGATACCTCATTTTGGATCCTTTTTTTTAAATTTTTTTTTTACATCTTTAGTGTTTCTCTTCTATTTGGAATTCGATATTTATAATACTTGCAAAAAGAAGTCTTTCTTATCCTCGCTATTTTCGCTTTCACATTGAAGCGCATGCGCCTATGAATTTGTTCAAGATGGCGGACTTTACAAAAATTTGAGTTTTGACAAATGGAACAAACAAACAATTCTCATATAGATTGACAAATTATGGATTCAACATGTGCTTATGATCCAACCTTGCTAGTGGATTTAGAAGGAAGGTGAACAGATAAACATCCTTTACATCTTGAACTTTTTTGTGATTGGTGATCTCCCTGACACAATGACAATGTCAATGTTTTGTCTTTTGAATAATATGAGACAGATGTTGATCAGGTTTTCGGTACATTAATGTAAAATGATGATTTACAGACAGTGTTTACGTTTTATTTTGGTTTACCGAAATTTTGCAGAATTTTGGCCATTTGACTTACACAATTACAACTAAACTTGGTTTGATTTATGCCCAAATAGTGAAATACACCCAAATTATCTCGAGTTGTTTGTTTATGAAGGAGTTGTAGGGGTAAATGTCGTCAACATGCATGTACATGTACCTATTAACTGATCTGAATTTTGTTGGTCACACTAAGTAAAGCAAGTAAGAGCTCGCCCAAGATTTTTCAATACCCGCCAGAGTCATACAATAACCTGGGAGTTCAGCATATCATCGCCATATGACTTTACCACTAACGTTCCTTGCCATGAAACTTCTGATGTCTTTAACATGTTAAATGCAAGATAAAATTTAACCACTGCTAAACCAAGGCTTCCAAAACGGTCATATATTCTGGACATTTGTATAATGTCCGGTAAAAGTCCGGCTGGGCAAAGCATGAAACGGTCATCTACTTTTTAGTTTTCAAGGCTTTGTTAAGAGACGGTCATTTTTACATAATTCGCGATCTTTTTGACCCAACCTTTTGCCTTAACAGCCACACATTTCCGGTCATAAAAGTGACATGATCATTAAGTATTATCAAAACAACCCCTACTTTAATACCTTCTCATTTTAATCAAGGCTAATTAGTTATCGAACAGCTGAAATTTACCTGTTCAGGTGACAGGTAAACTATTTTGAACCGGACATTGATCGGTCTATACAAAGTTATTTTCTTACATCTCAGCAGTTTGCATCTAATTAATTTAGTCAAAAAGATTTAAATTATCAGAAATACGCTTACAAATATGATTTGAGGAAAAAATGAAAAATCGTCATTAACCACGTTGTTTGAACAAGAGACATGTCTCTGTTTGAACTAGTACACATGTGCGCAGGTGTGAAATTTAATATGCATCCCAGTAATTTCTTCAAAAAATGCTGAAATTGTCATTGATACCTTTATCTCACGTTTATTTCGAATATTTTCTTGAAGAAATAACGTAGAAAGAGCTACGTACACTCATTTATGCTTTGCAAACGTACACGGAATTTACGTATCCGTCTCTGGTCCATGTTTTACCATTGTCAGGATAACATCCGGTTTAAGATTTAAAAACAAAACTGAAGTTTTTGACGTTATTTTGCACAAATAAAGAGTCTAAGGCAGATATAAGTACGCTTATGTTGCACACTTCGAATGATGCACTGCCAATTTAACAGTTTACGTCAGAACTTCGAATTTGAATCAAAGAAAGTTTAAGGTGGTACCCAACACCTTCACTAAAATTAATTTGGCTCGTTTAATTTTCATAAAATTTTGACAAAGTATTTACTTTGACCCTTTGACAAAAATATAAAAATTTCAAAAAATTTGAACCAACCAATTTATCAGAAAAATTAGACTGGTTATATAGCAGTTTGACAAACACTAACTTTGATCATTCAGAAGCTTAATATTCCCTTAACAATACAACGTAATTAAAACGTTAAGCTGATTTTTACAGAGTTATCTCCCTGTAGTGTTAGGTACCACCTTAATATCGTTTTTTTTTTTAATATCAATAATTGGGATGGCCAACTCGGCAACTGAATACCATAATTACCTTTTGTTTATTTAGTCTTAAGGGATTAAAATCGGGATAATACATGTATACATATAAAATGTCCGGCTGGCTAAAAATAATTTTGGAAGCCCTGTGCTAAACTGCAAATTCAAAATTTTTCATGAATAGGAAGTTTGATAATTTGCTCTCTATTGAATGATTTACAGCTATCAAAACATCATTTTGACAATCCTTTGACAAAATGTTTGATTGAAAGGTAACAAATTTGCTACTTATCAGGGTTTCAGCTTTGATTTTGACGGCTTTAGTCACTTTTGCGCGAGATGAAAAACAACCTTTTTTTGGGGTAAAAGCAGTGGACCAAAGATATGTATTACTACATGTAGCTATACGTCTTTGAAGGACTTAGGCATGCTCAGGCAGTTATTGCATAATTTGATAGATGTGGTGCTTAAATATGAAGATTATAATAAGATTTAATAAGGATCTGGATTTCTAGTTTATAATTTCACTTCAGTTATTTTCAGGGGACATAAATATTCCTGATCAACTAAAGTTGGGTTCCTTTTTAGCTGACCTGGCCCAAAGGGCCAAGTGAGCTTTTCTCATCACTTGGCGTCCGTCGTCCGTTAACTTTTACAAAAATCTTCTCTTCTGAAACCACTGGGCCAAATTTAACCAAACTTGGCCACAATCATCATTGGGATTTTTAGTTTAAAAATGTGTCCGGTGACCCGGCCAACCAACCAAGATGGCCACCATGGCTAAAACTAGATTATAGTGGTAAAATGTAGATTTTGGCTTATATCTCTGAAACCAAAGCATTTAGAGCAAATCTGACATGGGGGTAAAATTGTTTATCAGGTCAAGATCTATCTGCTCTGAAATTTTCAGATGAATGGGACAACTTGTTATTGGGTTGCTGCCCCTGAATTGGTAATTTTAAGGAAATTTTGCCGTTTTTGGTTATTACATGTATCTTGAATATTATTATAGATAGAGATAAACTGTAAACAGCAATAATGTTCTGCAAAGTAAGATCTACAAATAAGTCATCATGACCAAAATTGTCAGTCGACCCCTTTAGGAGTTATTGCCCTTTATAGTCAATTTTAACAATTTTTGTAAATTTTTGTAATCTTTTACAAAAATCTTCTTCTCTGAAACTACTGAGACAAATTTAACCATACTTGGCCATAATCATTATTTGGGTATTTAGTTTAAAAAATTTGGCCAATGACCCCGCCTTCCAACCTTCATGGCCGACATGGTTCAAAATAGAACATAGGGGTAAAATGCAGTTTTTGGTTTATATCTCTGAAACTAAAGCATTTAGAGCAAATCTGTGGGTGGCAAAAATGTTCATCAGATTTAGATTTATCTGCCCTGAAATTTTCAGACGAATCCGACAACCTGTTGTTGGGTTGCTGCCCCTGAGTTAGTAATTTAAAAGAAATTTTGCAGTTTTTTGTTATTATGTTAAATATCATTATAATTTCTAATATCTAATACTATAATTATGATTTTAACCTTATTTTACATGATTTCCAAAGCATCAGTAAAAAGAGGTGAGCGACACAGGCTCTTGAGAGCTTCTAGTTTTTTAAACCAGGAATTACAGCATAAATGAACCTGTATACATGTATAAACAACTTATTTCACTGCATAATCATTACCCTTGTAAAAACAATTAAATTGATATTTGGAATTCATTTCTATAAACTTGGAACCAAGGATTTGTACACATCTTTGTTGGAACGATTCTAATGACTGTATATTGTAAATTTCACGTTTTTGATTTTAAACGAAATGAAAACGGGAAGTGACTGCAGGAGGATAATAAATTCCGAATGAGTACGGATTCATCTATGGATTGGTTCATTTTAAACAAAAGGCAGGAAATGATCATATTTCTAAATCAAGTTGCTTAGTAAGAAATATATTTGTCTCCTGCGTTTATTTTGATACTAAATGATTTTGTATTTTACTTTTTAATGTCTAATTAATAAGAATACTTTCACGCATGCGCAGTACGTAGTAAGGAAGCACTTGTTTGACTGGTGGAAATATTTCTGAACGTTTTGAATAAAGTTCTTTCTCTTTAATCTAAATCGTTGAAAGTTTTTGATGAAAAGTTATATGAAATATGATGAAAATTCGTTCATATGACGAAACTACGACAAATGTACTGCAAATAGTGATCGATCGAGAAATATTGAAATTAAAATGCAAACTGGCTGCGGGGAAAAACATTTTGTTCAAATGACGAAACTGTAATAAACGAACTGCAAATTGTGGTCGTTTGAGAAATATTGAAATTGAAATGCTGACTGACCGGTTTTACAGGGAAAAATCATTATTAGGGTTAATAATTCATGAGTTTTATTAATTAATGGATTAGTGACCCATCAAATGGCGATAAACGGATTACCTGTAATCACAACTTATAACACCTGTGGTATACATTAATTAGATGAGGGTCATAAACTTGTCAAAAACATGAAGAATTATAGTATTTTCATGCGAAAATATTTTTACACTTTTCAAATTTAAGTGACGAAATTGATTTGAAAACCTTTTTCGTAAATGACGAAAATGTCTAGCACTGGCAAAATAACTGCTTATCCTGATTATTGTACCCAAGAAAGGTTGAACCAATCAAAGCTTGACATATAATTTTATGTTAGGATTTATAAAATTTGTTGTTTGCAAATATCAGTTAACTTGTATGTTTATTAATAAGGCGAAAGTGCATGAATTTGAAAGTTGTCTACGACAATGGAGTGAGAAACCTAACCCCTACTTATTTTAGGGTTCAAAGGTCAAGGTAACAGCAGCTATTGATTTACTGGCAAAATTTGGGTTTCTGATGTTATTTTTTGAACCATAATATACAGTATATCCAACTTTTAGCAAACTTGGTTCAATAATGCCCCATTGAGTGACAAATACTCTTACTGTTTTTTTGGATCAATAGATTGAATGTTAAGGTCACTGCAGTTATGCATATGCTGGGTTGATTTTGGTCTCCAGTATATACATGTAAAATGTACATGTACCACTATTATGCTAAAATAACTTCAACAACATGACAGAAAATTGCATTCTGGTTTTTTTTTGGGGTTGGTGGGGGGATTTTTGGTAAAACATTTTAAAGAAGCATTTATATCACATAATTTCTTGATTACACCAATAGGAACATGTTATTTCCCATATATTTGTAGGTATGATTACCGAAAAAAGGCGAAATATATGATATTATGAAAAGTAAATC